CCCCCCCTCCTTCTCCCCCAACTCGCGCGCGGCATTCCTGCCTTCCCTTCCCTCAGTTTAGTTTCAGTCGCTCGTCGCTCGCTCAACCCGCTCCACCCGTAGGACCGCCGGATTCTTTCGGGAAGCGCATGCGAGGCCTCAACGCGGAGTGCGCACACGCGGGGGAGCGATAAGGAGACAGGGAGGGTCCAGATACACGGTGAGTAACACGTCAATGCGCGGGAGAATTGAAAATATGACGGTCATCTCCCACTCCATCCTGAAAGATTTCACCACTGGCTGAACCATAAACGCGCGAAAGGCATTTTGTTGGCGCAATTATTTCTCCAATCCCCCCTTAAGTTATGCCCTTTTCTCTACAGACCAGGATAAAATTCTAAATTGAGTGATTTTACAATTTCAGGCGGTGGCATGATAAAAGTTGACGAGACAGATCCGGTTGGGGGTAAGTGCTTTCACCGAGTGTTATCTCTGTTTTTCGCGGAAGACATGAGTTACCAACCAATGCTTGTCTATCCGCAGAGCTGGAACCCAGCTTTCCCTACCGAGATGTGCACATCAAGCGGAACACAGATGTCAAGGAGTTCTACGACCTGCAGACGGAAATCGGACGGTAAGCTAAAACCTGCCTGAAGAGCGTGGTGGTAAGATACAATCCCTACCCGGCAGCCCGCGCCCGCGCGCTCGCCAGCGCCAGCCATGCTTCAATTAGGAGCCAGTTGTTGCAGGGGTGTTGACAGAGATGGTCGCAGTCTCACGACCATGAAGTCACGATGCGGGGGAGGTATTCGCTCTTCTGCCTGTGGTGCCACCGCCATACCCCAGTTTATCATCTTCCCCCCACTTCACTGTAAATCTGGGGTGCATAGCAGTTGGGCGACTCGAGGTGTCCCCTCAGTCAGTGAACGTTTCGTTTCATGAGGCGCTAATGATAACGCCTGCGAACCACTGGGTAGGCCAACCCGCCAAGTAGCTGTGTGAAGATGGTGGCCCAGCCAGGGCGCCGAAAGTGCGAGGGCAGGAGAGCGGTTGACTGGTTTGACGCCCAACGTCCCCTTCTGGTTTTTCATGTCACAACTGCGCTTAACATATCTCATCCCTGGGGTGGCGGACACGTATAGATGAGTCATGGCTCATGGCTGCAGTACAGATTTACAGTGTAGACTGCCTAAATGTTTTGGTTGGATCGAGTACCAAAGATTAAGGGGATAAGGTGGTCTTTTTCGTGAATCGGGTTATATTGAAGCGTGATTGAGAGCTAGTGCATTTTGGTTGTGAAAAAGATTATGCCTGATTGTCCGTCATTAACGAAGAGTCACGTGTTTAGCTTTCGAGATGAGACATTGAAGGCACGGGGACGGCCGACACATCTCTGCGACCTCAATTGATAACGCATCATGGCCGCGCCTGCTGGGCCACCTGGGGCCGCCCGGGGCCCGCGCTGCATCCTGAGCAGCGCGTGCCGTGCCGTGCCGCGCACACTGGCGGGCGGGGCGCAGCGCAGTGCAGAGATAGATAGTCTGCCGGTAGATAGGTAGATGAGGCCTATTTACTTTTCAAGCTTCCCGCGGGCCGTAACTCTCGCTAGCACCCGCCTTTGGTATGCGCCCCCGTGTCTCTGCATACGTTATTATTGGGAACAGGATGGCGGAGGGGCGGGGCGTGGGTGCCGTGTAGCAATGCGGCCGCGACGGCGGGGACAAACAATTCTGCCCAGGTCGGGGTGAAGCGCTCAAGCGCTCACCTGCGGGTGCGGGGTGCGGGCGGGGAGCCCTTCCCAGCCCGCCGCCCTCCCCGCCCCGCCCTCAGTCCTGATCTCAATCCCGCTCTTGCGCCCGCCCAGCACCTGCTCCGCGCCCCTCTGTCGTCCCCGCCCCCCTTACGAGCGCCTAGCGCACGGCGGGTGGGCACCGCGGGCGCACCGCTGCGCGCCGGGTCTGCCTATGCCCGGACCCGCAGGGGCTCCCGCCGGGCAGAGAGCTCCGTCGGCCGGGCCGGGCTCACGCCGAAGGGGTTTGTGTTCCTCGCCATACCGACTCTGTGTGTTGCTGCTGTTAAGGCGGCGCGAGTTGGCAACACCGGCCGCGGCGTGGCGCAGCGGGGTAGGCCGGGGCGTGAGAGGGAAAGGGTTAAGGGCGCCAAGCCAGATCGCTGGTCCAACCCGCCCCGCGGCGCCGCGCCCCACCGCGTCCCGCCGCGCGCCCCGACTCGGGCCGAGCCGCATGAGCCGGGGCGTGGCGCGGCGCGTTCCACAACCTGCTCTATTTATACCGATTCGTCCGGCTGGGCGGGCGGGCGGCACAGTCCACTCCGTGCAGCGGCATGCCACGCCGCGCCACGCCGAGTTCCTTTCCCTTCCGATGACCCATCTCATTCCGCTTTTATTTTGACTGGCCCACCCGCCCCCGCCGCATCCCTCGAAAGCGCCGCTACGCCCCGCCCCACCATGGGTCCTTAAAGTCCCGTCATGGTACTGACACCCCTTACAAAGCACAGCGAGGGTGAGACCCTGGTAGATTACGCGGACGACAAAGAACACACGGTCTCAAAACGAGTAGTACCAACCCACTCCGGGACTGCAGTTCGGTGTCTCAAACCGGAGAAATAGTGCCTTCAAGAAAGGGACTGGATGGCAGTCAACCAGAAGGATACGGACCTTGCCTTTCTCTCCCGCCGCCCGTTGCCCCGGGCCGCGCGGGCCGCGTCGACCTTGGGCAGGATAGGTTCGCCCTCCCCTTGTCCACCTGTCTGTCGACGAGCACGCCGCGCCCCTCCCCGCCCCTCCCGCACAACGCCGCGCGCCGCTATGGGCGCCGCCAGACGCTCGCGAAGGCATTCGGGGCACGCGGTGAGCAGCGCGCCGCGGGGGCGTGGGCGGGCGGGCCGGGGCGAGGCGGGGCCAGCGGGGGCGCGTTGCGCCAGGTGTTTACACGGCACCCATGTGCTCCTCACGTCGTAGTACAGGGGGTCTGCACCACCCTCGGGCTGACCTGGAGCGGCTGCCAACCCGTGGAGGGAGGCCCAGCAGCGAGTGCACTCTGCTGCTGCTCCACCCCGGCCAGGCCCGCGGCGGCCGGTGAACCCTAAGGCGGCGCGCGGGGGGCGGACCCACCACCACGAGACACGCCGGACGTGCCAGTGGCATTGGGACGTGCCCGGCAGGAGCCCCGCCCCGGCACGTCAAACAAGTGCGTCTTCCTTATGACCACGCGAGGGCAAGGACCAGAGCAGGACGCCCCGAAAGTTACGAGACTCGCACGCTTGCTTGTCGCGCGGGGGGCGCGGGGGAGCCCCGCCGGTTCTCATTTGCTTCCCGCAACATCTAACTGCCGCTGCCCGTCACCCCCGTAAGGCCCCCTTCCCCCAGCTCGGCCGTCCTAGCTGCGTCAGTGTCATCGCGGTCGTAATATTTAGTCATGTAAAGTGGAGGAGGAAGGGGAATGGCGGCGACAGCGGCGGCGACATGTGTCTGAATGGCCGCGCTTTGGCCAGAATTGGTTGGTTTGTCGCGGTTTTGTCGTCAATATGGCTTCCGCCACAAATAACGCCACAAAGTTTGAGAAAGGATTTCGCGGCAGGACGGGCAGGACTACCTCAACATGGGCCTCCCACAACACTACCACCGTCATCACACACACACAATAACACACAGTCTCTCACACACTCTTTGGTGTCGTCCGGAGGCTCCCTAAACGGAGTGCCGAGACGTTAATGAGGTCCTCGTTGTCCTGCGCGCGCGTCCTGGGGCCCGGCGGCGGGGGGCTCCACGCCAGCCTGCGCCCGCCTGCGCCCGCCACCAGGGACGTGGCCAGGGCGTCATTACGCAAGCCTCCCTGCTCAAGGGCGCGGCGGGCGCGGGGCGGGCGCTGCTGGGGGGCAAACGAAACAAAGAGAGAGGCGAACGGCAACAAACCGGGACTGTTGGTGTTGGGTCTGCAGGGCGAACCCGGTCCTCCGCAATAACCACACTCACTCGACTCGAGCTCGCTATCGCGCCAATCTGATCATCGCCCCGCGTGTAGTGTGCGGCAGTGTGCGGGTGACACGGGGCCAGGAGAGCCACCCCCTGCGGCTGGCCACCGGTATCGGTATCGGTCGGTGGGAAACTTGTTAGGCGCGTGTATCGGTGGCTCGGCTGCCAACTCGCTTGGCAAAAGAATCACAATGCGGGTGGCGGGGGCAAGGAGAGGAAGGGAGGGGACGGGGGCTGGGGTTGGAGGTGGACAGACAGACGATTAGGTCCCATCACCCGTTTGAGGAGCGTTGGTGAGGAGGATATTTGCCTGGGAGCCAATGCCAATGCCTCGGTCACTAAAAACTTTCCACTTGGCCCGCGGCGCGCGGCAGTGTTTTGTCGGCCGTAAATGTTGATGCGATAGTAAACTGCGGAATGGGATGACGAGGGCATTGCAGTAAGTTTGTAGATTGGCGGAGGATTCGCGAGCACACGAGGAAAAAGGGCTCTGGCAGGGTCACGGGCGGGCGTGCGAGGGGGGGGGGGCGAAGGACGCCCGCCGGCGCCGCCCAAACAACAGCTGGTACCAAACACTGCGGCTGCAGCGGGGCCAAGTCCCCCTTCACAAAAAGAAAATACCACCCTTTTTTTCGCGTGAGAGTTCTCGCTCCCGAGGGGGCAGCGAGTCGTGTCGAGGCGAGGGTGCTTGGTGCTTGCCCCCGCCCCCCGCCGCCCAGGTCCCGCGGGCCGCCCCGGCGCTTAGCTCGCCCAGCTCGCGTCTCCACGGGGGGAGCCCATACCGCGGACCGCCGGGCTGACGTCACCGAGACCCACGGCGGCGACGTCACCCGCGGGCGAAACCGACGTCACCGCTCACCAAACCTGCTCACCGCGCGGGCGCACCGCACCGCCGAGCTGACTCACCTGGGGGCAAACCTGGGGGTGAGCCAGAGCCAACCTCGGCCGAGTGATGAGCCGCAGAGCGCATAACACGGCGGTATCATAAAGCGGCCGCAAGGACACCTAGCGGGGCCGGGCCGACGGCGGCGTTGATCGGCCGGCGATCGACCTCAACCCGATCAACGCCGCCTGGTCCGTCCTGGAGGGCGGATGTTTTTGTTTACGCGCGGCCGGCGTTGGCCTCCGTTGGGCGCCGTTGGTCCGCCGCGGGGGCGTGCCTTGTGCGCGCGCGGGCGAGAACGACCGCAAAGAGCGGGGGCCAGGGGGAAGGGCCGAGGGAAAAGGGGGGGGGGGGTAATTTGTGTAAAGGAGGAAAAAGAGGCGCGATGGCAAGAGTATGGGGTTACGCGTCGCGGGCGAGAGCGCCTGTGGCTCGCGGGCCGCGCTGACCGGGGGTTTGTGGGGTTGAGGGACACGGGGCGCCGGCCGCCGGGCCGAGCGGGACCGCAAGGCCGCCGCGACGCCGGCGGCTGACACGGGGTATGAATGAGTGTCCCCGCACGCGCCCCGTCGGGCGTCGGGGATACAAGGGGATACGTACGTACGTGGCTGACAACCCGGGGATATTGGGGAGATGTTACACCTCATACCTCATAGGGTCTCCCTCGTCGTGCCATGAGATCCACCCCATACAAACCTTTTGACAGTCGTTCTTGGGAAACATCCGCTGAACGTTGACGGGCAGCAGTCCTTCCCCGTCGCCTTTGCTCCCCCCCCCCCTCTTCTTTGTCTCTCTCTCTCTTCTCTAGAGCCCGTTCGGAATGCAAGGTTACTCTCTATTTACTCGGATGTGAACTTTGCTGCCCCGGGGCCCGAGGTGGTCGAGCACGACCCGCAAGCCCAGCGGCGCCTGGTGGTGGTGATGGTAAGGGGGGGGGGGGCAGAACGCGGAGCCAGGGCAGGCGTCTATACGTGTCCACGGCAGAACGGCGCCGGCCCGGGAGCGCCGCCTGTCCCCCCCCCCCCTTCTCTCTGTGTCTCGCGGGGGCGGGCGTGCGTCCCCCGCGACGCGTCGCGAGCACCCGGGGCCACGGCGGGGTGGGGCGAACCTTCCCTATCTGCATGCCAATCACCCGAGCCGCATCAAGGCCGCTCTCAGCGCCGCGGGTATTTTTAATCGTGTTTACCCGCTGCTTTTTATTTTTTCCTGTTTGCCCGCGCGACTTGGCCGCCCCTCGGGTGTCCGGTCAGGTGGGCGTCGGCGCTGCCCCTCCCCTCTGTACTCGCGGCTGACGGCCCGGCTGACGGCTCTGCTTCCTCCGGGTGTCACAGGGGCAAGTTCGGGACGGTGTACCGGTGCCGGGAGCGGACGACGGGCCTGTCGCTCGCCGCCAAGTTCGTCTCGGTGGCGCGCAAGGAGGACCGGCGGAACGTGGAGCGGGAGGTGGACCTCATGCGCTGCCTGCAGCACCCGCGGCTGCTCCAGCTCTACGACGCCTTCGAGTACGAGAAGAACGTCTGCCTCATCCTCGAGCTGTGAGTATACAGGCCCTGGGCATGGCGTGCCACTGGATTGGAGCGAGCACCCCCGTGGCGTGAGTGACACGTTTTAATTGACGACATCACCAGGATCGAGGGAGGGGAGCTGTTTGAGCGGGTCATTGACGACGACTTTGTGCTCACGGAGAAGTCGTGCACCATCTTCATGAGGCAGATTTGCGAGGGCATCCAGTTCATCCACCAGCAGCACATTCTCCATTTAGATCTCAAGGTGAGTGTATGCATTCGCCTTTACAGCCTGTCTGGAGGGGGCCCCCATTTCTGACATCCAGGACGAGGCGTCTCACTGGCGAGTCTTTTCATCTTGCAGCCCGAGAACATCCTGTGCCTCACCAAGACGGGAAACAGGATCAAGATCATCGACTTTGGCCTGGCGCGGCGTTACGAACCTGGCAAGAAGCTGCAGGTCCTCTTTGGCACGCCAGAGTTCGTCGCCCCCGAGGTTGTTAACTTTGATCCGATAGGCTTCAACACTGACATGTGGTCGGTGGGCGTTATTTGCTACGTCCTGTAAGTTGGTATTGTTTCACGCTGTTAACAGAATTATGAAAAATTTTGGGCTTGAGATTCATTTCTGCAATCGGCCTCCAGGTTGTCTGGCCTGTCGCCGTTCATGGGGGACACCGACATCGAAACAATGGCCAACGTCACGGTGGCGAAGTACGACTTCGATGACGAGGTCTTTAACGACATCTCGGACGACGCCAAGGATTTCATCAGCATGCTGCTCGTTAAAGAGAAAGAGTAAGTAGTGCGGTTTTTTAACATAGACATTACCTCGAGCCTAGGCAATACTGAAACTTCATTAAAAACTCTCAATAGCTTCACATCTATATACGGCTATTAGTGTATTACAGTAGACTTGTTTGAACGCTGTAAAAAAAAATATGCATTTATTTTTTTGTAAATAAGTTGATGCTTCCCGTGCTTTACTGTATTGTATACGTATACGACGCAAGGTCAGGGATGCCTGGCGGAGAATAGAGTACTTAACACTAAGGCTGCTGGAAGAAAAGAAATCGTCCCACCAGAAGTTGTTTGATGGTGGCCTCACGCCGTTGGCTGAGGCCTTCCCTTTTTACCGGTCAGAACGGTCGCAGATGATGGCACAGACCCAGCCTGCTAACCACTGCTAACTATGCTTGCGCTACTACTCATGGACCACGTGTGTGTGCGCTATCCAGATTCATGCAAAATTCACACTTTGGGCTTCATAGAAAATCGTCCTAATCTGATTCAGGCACGGATCCATCAGCCAATCTCTAGGAATCGTGGCCGCGGTAATGCTATTTGCCTACTTTCGGGCAGATCATATGTTGCCGTAGTCCGCAGTAGTTTAAGATTCTGAGGCGGAATTTCCCCTACAAAAGAGGCCGTCTCTGGATCTACGCCTAGTGTATTTGTCATAACAGAAGCAAAACTGTGATCGGCAGTTAAGTTTGGCTTGTCTTCTTTTTTAAGCTTTTCTTCTTTGGCTTCTGCCCCATTCTGCGTTTGGGGCCTTTAACTTTGAACCGCTTGGTGCTCTCATATGGCTGCTAACGTTACAGAGTGTGCGGCGCGCTGACTATTCTGGGACGGCTGTACAATGTAAACGTGGTACCTCCTCTGGGGTAACGTTGGACGACGAGCCAAGAGGCTGTCCGCGATTTACATCACTTAGTCTTTTCCTACGTAATTTACGCATCTATTTGCGTTTTTCTTGAGGCGAGGTAGAAGTGACATGATTTACAGACAGAGGGCCAGCAGAAAATCTAAGAGCAGTTCTCTCAAAAGCAAGGTCCCTCCTGCTTCCGTGGGAAGAAATCAAAATGATGCAGGGTGGGATAGTTGGGTGAGTTTCGGCTGTTACTCCCCACTTTTGGCGAGTGCGATATGGCGTGTCATTGCGGTTTCTGGGTCGTTTCCACGACTGGCGACGGGAGATGCACACAGGAAAACTCGGAGAGTCTGCACACTTGGCAGAAGCTTTCATCTGTGAACACAATCTTTTGTCGACGTGACACGTGACTGTGTACTGTGTAGTAAATGAGAATTGGCGGGCTCAGTAGAGAAAAGTACAGACATTTGCTACAATTAATCAGCCAGGCTCACGAAAGGGAAGGAGTTGCGAGCGCGTGTCTAAAGTTGGCTCCACAATACAATGAGCGTTCCCCAGGGTGCCGCTCAGGGCGGGCCGCCGTCTCGACACGGCTGCTGGGCGGGTTGGCCTACCCAGTGCGTTGCAGGCGCTACGACGAAGCGTCAAAGCGTCAACGCAGGAACTGCTTATCGTGGAGGCACCTTGATTGTTCCATTTTGGCGCAAAAGCTAGACAGAGCACATGAGTGCCCCCTTCCTGAACACTCGGAGGTATAGTCGATGCCCCTCATTTGCATAACCGTTATGCGGCGCTGTCTCAAACCCTCTTTCTCTGCTTCGCGGATCGCGCTTCCCCGTCGCCCCCGACTAAGCAAGCCTTCCCCCGGTGTGCCTAGCTGACTGATTGGGTTTCGCTTTCTCGCCCGTCTCTCTACTGTCTGACTGTCCTCCTCTAACGCTGGGTCTCCGTCCCTCTGTGCGCCGTTCTGTCTCCAGGAAGCGCATGTGCGCGGAGGCGTGCCTGCACCACCGCTGGCTCAAGCGGAAACCGCCGCCGCCGCCACCCAAGCCCGCCCCGGCGACGCCCGTCCCAGAACCGACGCCCGTCGTGACGCCGCCGGAGGAGAAGCCGGAGGTCAACAACAACTCGGCGGCCGAGGAGGACAAGAACGAGGTCGTCGTCGTCGTGAAGGAAGCGGAGGAGGGTGAGGCCGGCAAGCTGGCGAGCACCAAGGACAACCTGCGCAACATTGTGGAGCGCTGGACAGAGCACCCCGACAGCCCCTACATCTTCGACACGTCGGCGCACGTCATTTCGCCCTGCCCGTCCCTGGCCAGCGTGCTCACCGAGCCCGGGGACGTCTTGGTGGCGGGAGCCGTCCACAACGGTGACGCTGCCGAGGACGCTGCCGATGCCGATGCCCCCAGGTCACCGACGATCTCTACGCTGCCCTTGCCCTACGACCGGCTTCTGGGTACGGAGCGCCGTGCCTCAGACAGCAACTGTTTCGTGCGCCTCAAGAGCCATCACGTGGACATCAACGATCGCATCAACCTGGCCGACGAGATCAGGAAGCTCTCAGAGAAGCTGTTCCGCATAGCGAGCTGGGCGCCTCGGCCCGCGGACGACAAGCGAGAGCAGGACAAGCCCACCGTCAGTCCTCCCCAGGGGAACAACGTAGAGTCCACCACCGTCACCGAGACCAAGAAGGGCTGCACCACCACCAAGACGACATTCGCGTCCTCGTCCACGTCCAGTGATGGCACCGTCACCTCCACGACGTCGACCACCACAACGACTACTTCGTGCAGGCGCGGCGACGCGCGCCTCTCCGACAACTTCACTGCCAGGTTGTCCCAGACGCAGATCCCCACCAAAAGGTTCTGGCCCATCGAGCCCGGCCGCATGCCGTCCCGGGCCGAGCTCCACGACGAGGAGGTTCCTCCCGCGGAAGAGGCTGCCGTCCTGGCCAACTGTCTGGCGCGGCGGGACAGCCGGCGCCTCTCCATCCGAGACACGATTGCGGCCACCCCCGCCTTCCACCGCCTGTCGCGCCGCAGCCTCTCCTCCGCGTCCTCCACCACCACCCAGTCCGCACCGCAGAGCCCACGCTGGTCGCCGGATCCCGAACTACCGCCGCCACCCGGCTCAGACATCACCAAGGACCTGTTGCTGAGGCTGCTGCACCGCCTGGAGCCCGCGCCGGCCTCCGCCCACCACCACAGCCTGCTCGGCTTAGGCCTCTGGGAAGACCCCTTCTTTAGGACAAGACCTACTGCCAGTTCCCTACTGGACAAAAAAAGAACACTAATAACTTCACACAGCGGTGGCGGAGTGTAGCGTACTCAACCTACTAGAGTGCTGATATTTTCCATGAGAATTCTCGCTTTCGAAAAGCCTGAGTTCTGATAAAATTGCAAAGCCATGACAACAGAGCAAACAGTGTACAGGCCTCCTTCCAAAGGTTGTCGAGTAATCGTCTAACTGGAAATTGAAGGATATTCGCAGGATGTTTTAATCCGCGCTAACCCCAGTATGAACTACCAGAGTTTTCCATTTAAGACTGTATTTTTCAAAGGTATGCGGGCTTTGTGAACGAGTGAAAGTCCTTGACTTTACGCGTGTCGCGAAAGAAAAAAAATAATCATATAACAGCTCTGCACCTTTGCAATCTAACAGTACGTCATGTCGAATAGGTTGCCTATGGTGACGGCGGCGGTTGTCAAGTGTAACGTGAGTGCTTCCTTAGATTTGGACCTCCACCAGCAGGGAAGTCCATTTTGGGCGTAAACAACTGAGACGTATGTGATTGTAGATGTGATGTTTATGTAAGAATGTTATTTTGTATGTTATAATCATAATTATACTTAAGTCAATGTGCTACGTAAGCAATAATCTAAAGATCTAAGTCATTGTACAAATGATAATAAAATTCTCTACTCTAGTTGTGAATATCACATATTTTTAGTAGAATTTAGATTAAAACATGATTTTGGAATGAAAGCCCATCATTCACACAGCACAAATTGTTAACATTGTTTGTAATTGGTTGTGGAATAGTATTCTGAGAATAACAAATTTAAGACTGACGTCATGACAGAAATTAAGAGATGGCCTGAGAAACATCTAAAACCATGACAAAAGTAAAAGACTTCAGGGGTCCCAGATAGGTGGTTGACAAGATGATCTGTGCTCTCTCTCATACTTCCTTGGGCTCTCTTATGTATTAACTGTGCTGCCAGGCCAGTATCTGGGACCACTGACCTATCTAGTCATCAGGTACTATTTTGTGACTGATTAGTGATGTATCAATAAAAGCATATCAAATTTGTGTGAATGGCTTGATTCATGCAATACCACAATCAAATAATACAGGTTCAAAAATTAATGCTCTCCATGATTCCTTACAGGGATCGAATGTCTCCTCAGCAGTGTCTAGACCACAAGTGGATAAAAAGTGCTGTGACTACTAGCCTTAGCAAGAAGAGACTCAAACGGTATGTCATCAAGAAACGCTGGATAAAGGCTGTCAACACTATTATCTTTTTGCAAAGAATGGGAGCTAAACTTGACAGGGATGATCAAGAAAACAGCCGCTCGTAATGTGAAATCATACATTAATTTGACAAGACTGAGCGTATGGACAGAAAAGCCAGTCTTCTGGCCCATATGATGGAATTCGTAATTTAAGCCAAGTCCCAAATTTCTGGCCTTCAGTATACTGTGAAGAAAGATCTCCTGCTTGAAAACTAGAAATACCAATCTGATCACTTTAGAAATAAAGGATAAGCTCCATTTGTGGGTAGGCTCTAAATACAGGTAACCTGATACTCAACTAGTAAATGGTTACAAATGATTTGTAAAATATTGCTTAAATAAACTCAAAAATTGGATTTATAGATTTTTATTATATAAGATACACCAAGGTACACCTTAACGGTAAGACTTCTGGTACCTGGCCCTGGCACCTGGACCTCCGAACTTCTTGGGCTCGCACCGACGTGGGTCAGCCACTAACAAGGTGCGGTCATACTGAATAAGAACATCTTTCATTTCTTTCTTTGATGCCTCATCCACATCTGGAACAGGAAGAAAAATCCATTAGTATCTATTCTCAAAGGTTACTTAAAAGATAATCTTCAGATAGCACATCAGATAGAAAGATGATATCAAGACATTCATATTCGGGATAATGAGTTCATCACAAGTGCTTCATAAAAATATTACAATGAATAATCAATCCTACTCACATTTCTGGTAGTAGGCAACTAAAGCCTTGGAGATGGCTTGTCTGATAGCATAGATCTGTGAGACATGACCACCACCGTTGACTCGCACTCTGATGTCGACACCAGCAAATCGGTCCTGAAAAAGAAACAATTTAATTAGATAAGCTGAGTTCAGAAAAAAGAAAACCATTCCTCCAAAAATATTAGAAATATCCATGTAGCACAGTTTTGGAGACCTGAATGGTCATTAGACCACACAGGCACTATGAAGAGCGTTAATGTATGGCCCACATATAGGCTCAACTAACGATAGATTGAGTCAACAATTAGCAGGCCAATTGATTAAATTGAAAACGCTCCATTCAGGAAAAATAAAACAGCCAATCTTTTTTATCATAAGCAATCAAACGGTAATTAGTATCATCATTTAGGAGTTTCAGGAAAAAATTAGGTCAATAATTTGACATTCCAGATCAGTCCGATGCAAAAGGGTAACATCACTGAGATTCAAACGGTAATTAATATCATTACTTTTTGAATGTCACAAGAATTCAAATTTCAGAGTGAAAATAAAACAGCCAATCTTCCTTACCATACGCAATCAAACGGTAATTAGTGTTAACATTTTGGAGTTACAAAAGAAAAAATTAGGATAATAATAATTTGACATTTCAAATCAGTGCAAAATATGCAGCCAAAGTGTATCATCACTGAGATTCAAACGGTAATTAATATCATCACTTTTGAAATGCCACAAAAATTGCAAAGTTGACAGAAGACAAGCTTTTACACATAAAAATCACAAAAGACCCAAGTTAAACAGCAATCCATCAGTGCAAAAAATGCAGCCAAAGAGTATCATCACAAGGACTCAAACGGTAATTAATATCATCACATGGAAGCTTTGAGTATGACACATCAAAAGAGGGAAACCATCAGGAAATTAAACAGCCAAAATAATCATCATATATGATCAAACGGTAATTACTTTCATCATAGGTTTCCAAGACACAGTGAACATTTTAGGTGTAGCAGTTCTAGGAGACCAGGGAGACAGAGCAATTCAACCTGGCACTATGGGCTGCAGTTGATATAGGGCTCTATATTAGAGTAGGACCATTGGGACCAACTCTTTCGAAATGTAGAGCCCACAAACAGGTAGGAGACTCATACACACCTTTCCTAGCAGCAGAATGGGTTCCTGAAGCTTGTATTGGAGGACTCGCGGCTCAACCATCTCAAGAGGACGGCCGTTTACCCTCAGGTTGCCATTACCACGCTTGCAGTAGGCAACAGCCGTGGCGGTTTTCTGTAAAAGGAAATCGGTCAAGAATTGAACTCATGAGGAACATAACCTCCCGGCGCGGCAAAGTTGACACAGTCAGGTACAATCTCCTGAACTCAGTAGGACCACAGTAAAGGCGCGGTGATACGAGAGTTAAGATTTAACAGATTACACAATAAGCAAAGCATCCGCAGAGAAACAAGTCGAATGCCGCATGCATGACCACGTCCCACGTTAGGATAGAACATAACCTATACAACAACATGTATCGGTATATGATCATATGGCAATCAGGTAAACTAAAGAACTATGGAATCTTAAAACGCCAGCATAATGATTGAAATTTCAGGAAACCGTAATTAATTTACGATTAAACCTAAACTTCACGAATAAAGAGCAGAATGCCGAACAGAAGGCCTAAACATACCTTGCGTCCAAAGACCTGGACGGCCTGTATTGGCTCCTTAGCTTTCTGTAAAGCAGATATTGAAAATGTTATGAACCAAATAACGAAATACAACTAAGTAACGTAATTATCACGATATAAACAACTTTCTGAGCTCACACACCTTAGTGCCCTGCATCGCGGCTGAACCCTCGTGGACAGGAAGTGAATAAGACTTGTAAAAGACCGGAAAACGTATCAGATCGGCACACACTAACGTGGTCAAGTAGAGTGTTAAAATACACTTCAAAGACTCTTGTGTTTCAAATGGAAAATTTTCAAAAATTAAATGTTAAATAGTAAGAGGAAAATCACATTAAAGTTCTCAAGTCATCCTCAGGAAATGCCAGTGTACTTAAAGATTAAGACATGAGTTTTGAAAGTTGACGTGACACTGGTGACACATTCTCTTTTGACTCGATTGGTGGTCTATAGTGGTCTGCTAAAAACATCTTAAATGTTTCCTATTCAATTTATATTTTCATTTTTCATAATTATGGAACAGCCTTGATGACGTTCGATCACTTTTCAAAATTTTTGTAATGGATAATGGACACGAAAATTAAAATAAAACGTTCCAACTTCTCCGGTCGACAAGCCGTCAGATAAAAGGCAGTGCATCAAAATGGCTGCGACCCAAGGTAAACATTTACCTTATTTGCTAACCATCTGATTAATTGCTAGTTTCAAAAGCAATTGTAAACAAATCTGATTTCTATATTCAGATTAGAAAATAATTCTTCCTAAGCCGCAGCAGATTTATGATTGTGTGCTCTGTTAAACTGGCAATAAACATGCATTAGGGGTCCATTAACTTCTTTGTAAACAGTTCTTTTCTTTTACAATTTACCAGAAAATGTTAATTTGAAACAAGTATGGATTGACTTTTGCCCAATGAAAAAATTGTCAACTCTCTGTATCCCACCAAGGTCTTTCTGCTTGTGCTTGTCATAGGACAGAAGCGACTATTTTAAACTGTTCCATAACCCCTTGACAGACTGACAGATGTCACTTTCTTGTCATTTTATTTTGATTATTTTGAATTAAAGTCTTGTTCTGTTGCGGATTTTCTGTTACCTCCTTACTTCTTTTCTCATCAGAATCAGAAGAAGATGTGCTTGATTGGAGCAACCAGGGATTAAAAAAGCTGTGCAAACCATCAGGAGCACAATCAAAAGTTTCCAAATTGATTCTTGACAACAATGATCTCACCCGGTTGGACTGTATAGATTCGTTCACTGCTCTAAAGAGTGTAAGTTTCCCTAAAAATTTGTACCTTGTTGTTCACAAAATAAATCTGTAGAATACATGGTCTTTCTATCCATCCAGCTCTCAGCTGTTCGTAATGGGTTATTGCGAATGTACAATGTCACAAGGCTACACCATTTGGTGTCGCTCAATCTTGCTCGCAATGGTATACTTACTATAGAAGGTCTCAAAGAGGCAACACAGCTCAAATGGCTTTGCCTTGCAGGAAATAACATCAAGGTAGGTTTTTATATTTTTCTTTTTTTCCTAATGTAGTTTCTCTATTGCTTTTTCATAACCACGATTTATTTTAATGCAGACCATTGAGCATCTGAATACTAATAGCCTTCTGGAACACATTGATCTCTCAGAAAATAATATTGCATTTATTACTGACCTCTCCCACCTCACAAACCTTAAAGTAAGTCTCTGCCGCTGAATGGTCTGGTGAAGGTGCGGTGCACCTGCTGTTTTATCTCTCAAGAAAAACTTCTTCTGCTTCTACTAACACTTAAAAAATTATTTGCAGACTTTACTGCTGAATAGTAATAAAATTGGCCACCTTCAGGCATGTGATAAATTTTTACCTGTGGGCTTAGACACAGTGGCATTAGCAGCTAACAATATAACAGATCTTAATCAAGTTTCTTTCCTGGTAAACTTGAGAGACCTCCGCCAACTATCCATTGCAAATAACCCATGTGTTGCTATGACAGGAAGTAATGTGTATCCTTTAAAGCACTGACTTGTAAATTTGAAAGATAAATTGAATCTGTATACCAAATCTAATCCAAAGATAAAGGTATTTTTCTTTTACAAACATTTTCAGTGGTTTTGATTATAGACCATTTTTAATTAACTGGTGTATGGGACTAAAAGTGATTGATGGCTTTATGGTGAATGAAATTGAGAGGTTAGTTCATAAAAGTCTTTTTAATTTATCATATCAAACTACTACTCCTTCTCAACCCTTCTTTCTTTATTTTGCAGTCTCAAAGCCGAATGGCTCTACTCTCAAGGTCGAGGAAGACAATTTAGGCCTGGTGATCACGAGTCTCTTGTTGCATACCTAGCAAGTACTTGTCCTCTTGGTGGAGAAAGTTTAGAAACAGAAGAAGATAGAAAACTGCGCCTCATTCTCAGCAAAGCTCAGCATCATCAACAACAACTAAAACAGCAGCAGGCTGATGGTGAGATTTGTAGACTTTGAATTTAGTCAACATCCCATTGCACTGGTGTGACATTTCACTGTAAATTTTTTTAGCGAGCACTTTAAACACTGTACAATTGACTCTAAATCACCCAGGTACACTTCAGCGCTCATCCTCTGTTTCGCCCTTTACACGAAGGCGCACTTCCAATTCATACAACCGGTCTAGTAAGTGCTTTTACTTAAAATTGCTTTTCTGCTTTTATCTAGTACTTTACACTGAGCTGCTGCTTTACATTGAAAATCCTAGAAGGCTTGTGTTGTGAAACAATTGCTCGGCACTCTTTCCAGGTCTTAACCGAGGCAGAAGAAGAACCTACACCCCTGACCGGATGACATCTAGTTTCCACAGTGAACTTCCTAGCTCTGGGCCTGAAATGTCACCTCTTATGACCCAATCCCTTGATTTGTCTTTTCTGAACTCATCTGATAGTGATGATTCTCGCCGTAAAGTACCTTCTCAGCTCGTACCTCAGGGTAATGTTATTTTAGTATGAGCTATGTCGGCTTTGTTTCACAAGAATTAGATTGAAAAAGAACTATGTAAGGTTTGAATCAGTCAGTATGATCTTTTGCTTCTACTTTTGTTGTGGTTGTTGTTGTTCCAGATGAAGATTCTCCTTTGCACTCTGCAACTGAAATGATACCAGTTCCTGATTCATTGTTGAGTCCCGAGTTCCGCCCCATAGATATGATTCCTTTGGGGACACCTGCTCAAACCCCAGCAACACCTGCCACACCTGCCACTCCTTCATGTCCACTTGCCAAAAAAGGGATTGCTCAGCCACTAGCTACTGGTCTACCCCGGCCTAGTTCTGCAAGACCTAGCAGTAGGCTGCCTGTCAGAGGTATTGCATAGATACTTTCATTTTATCACCTAAAAACTGTGAGTCTGTTTTCTTCTCTCAACCGTTTTTCCTACATTGTAAGGTGGAGGGATGCCAGCTCCGCCTCTCCCGGCTCCAGGTGGTTGTTTGGACGAGTCAAGCACAAGCAGACGAACTGACGCGGTTTCATTGGGTACACCTTATGAGCAGCCTGAAACACCTTCAATGGAAACACATTACACTTCTCAAAAATGCACCCCAGTCTTCACAGGTTTGTCCCAATTAACCCACGCCAAGATTTATGTCATGTGACAAGATTATGATGCTCATTATCCTCTAATCTTTGACTGCCACAGCTGAAGCAAATTTGGAACGTGATGGAAAGCAATCTGAAGCTGTTGGTCCCAAAATGAATGGAGGCAAGAAAGAAGCTACTGATACCCATGCCGATATGAATGGCAAGGAGCAATCATGCATCAGTCAAAAACTAAATGAAACACCTCAATTTGCACCTTCAAAGCCTATGCAACGATCAGATGCCAAGAGACCCACAAGTCTTGGTAACAAACTGCTTGCTTTAGTTTTTTATTGGTTGGACTAGTGGTATCATAAGAATGTGTGTGTTTTACTTCTAGGTTGACATAAATATCCATTTGTATCTTTGGTTTGTGCTGGTCTGTCTTGTTATAAAATCCATAGATTAACCCTGTTGCCTCTGTCCTGTAGTTTATTTAATCTTCTTCTTTCAAGTTTCCTTTCTTCTCAACTTGTGTTAAGAGTAGTGCTACTTATCATAACCGGTTTCAGATCTACCCTTTCACTATGGTCAAATTTTGACAAATGGCTGTTCTCAAGTTAATATGATAATCCCCAGGCCAGAGGGGCAAAGTGAGTGAAAAGCAGCTGATGTTTAAACTGCTGAACTTTCTGTTATCACTCTGTATTTTAACAATATCACACTTGTAAAAACAGTGGAATTTGTCTCTTTTGTGCTTCAGATTCAGTGTCAGTGTTTCTAACATATTTTTCTCTCTTATGCAAATCTGTGTGTGCAACACTGCTTTCTCTTGACACCAGCACCAACTCTTTGTACAGGAATATTCCCAATATTCACTTGTGGTGTGGTACTCTATCAAATTTGTCCACCTGTGAATATTTTTTCCAATGATAACTAGCAACTGATAGCCTGCTATATCAAGTTTGGAGGTTGTTGGTCTTTTGCAATACTTTTGAAGTATGATATTAAAATTGTTTACCTGCCAGTTTTTAAAATATTTTAACTTTAGTGTAGATAATTCTTATTGATAAATTATACGGCCTGTGGTTTATTCTTTCACAATCAATAATGAGATTGCAGCTATTAGTCAATGTGTTTTGGCCAACAACTATGAAGTGTCGTGTAATTAATTTACTGGACTTTAGTATTTTGAATTACCTTACGCATTTCTTTTAAATATTAAATTCTCCTTTGCTTTTTTATGGGTATACGCGAATGTAGCTCCTGTATTGCATTGAACATGTTAACCTGAACCTGCATGCCAAACTTAACTAACAACTACCTTAAAATATCTTATAATTGGATGCAAATTTGTGTTTGATCAATAAGGTGGATGAAAATGCACCTTATCATTGACTAAATTTTCACATATTTAAGTTATTCATATCTTTTTCAGAATGTGCTGCAACAAATATCCAGAGATTATGGAGAGGTTACCATGCTCGAAATTTAGATCCCAGAGTAGCCAAAGTCAATCGTTGTCTGCAGGATAAACGAACATTAGAGCATATTAGGTACATTTTTAGCGCTTTTATTTATCGGACTAGTACTATGCATCTACTTATGCTTAAATCCTGAAATACGTATTTCCCTTCACAACGTAGGAAACTGACAGAAGACCTAGAGGGTACCAAAAGTGCATTAGAAGGTGAGAGGAGATTGCAACTTCTTCAAATGCAAGCAATTAGTGCGCTGTGGAAAAAAGTAGTTTCACTTCAACAAAATAGTGCAACGCAAAGTATCCTTCCAACTGTGTCTGCTGCTGATCTTCTTGGAAGCGAACAAGTCACCTCCAGCAATAGTGCTGAATGCATTCGTAAACTCACCCATAGCTGTTTGCATTTGCACACCCAGGTGAGAGAAAATATTTCTTGGTGATTTTAATTCTCTTTTCTTCTGTTTGAATCTTGGTTATGGATTTCCATGTGTTGTCTCATCAGGTTGCAGAGCTTCAGCAGTCAATGCAAGAAGTTACAGCTGCTCTCGGCTTGACTTATCGCCAGGGTCAAATCCCAAGAGTAACATTGGCCACTCAGACAGATTTAAGTGCTGTTCATACACCATCAGATGCAGTTCATTTTCCTTTTCAGAAAGGTGATCTTCCAATCACATCCACCCAAGGTAAATACACTGCAGTCATAAGTGTGTTGGTAGTTTCACATTTCTGTATTCAGAAGAACTCCGAGAAACTAATATCTGTTTCATGGACATTTTCAACCATTTATATAATTGATTATCTTTATATACCTGTATATTTTTTTTAGATATATCTATGAGACCAGCATCAGCAGCTTCTGAGAGTGGCTCTGTCGAGAAAGCTCCAAATCGACCATCAAGCCTTCCTTTGAATGCCCCTCATCCTTCATCTCGGCGCCAGACTCCCCCACAACTGAATCACTTTGCAAGTTCACTTCTGGATGGTGTGATGAGGACAGTGTCTTCCACAGACCAAGGAAATGAAAATGCTCTTGATGAAAGTAGTTCAAAGCAAGAGAATTTATCAGACACCGCCAAAGATCAAGTGAAGTAGGGGTTTCGTTTGCACTACCAGAATGGAATGTATTCTGTCAAACAGAATCTTTTTTGTATAGTTTTGGAAAGTTTTTCATGGTGGTAATGATGCATCCCAGATGCCATTCTGTTTACAGATCTAATAATTGTTATTTGTAGCATGTCTTTTAAAATCCATGATGAAATATTGCCAATGGAATAGAAAACACTTCTAACAAAATAGATCAAGAGTGTGAATTTGTTAGATTATGTAATTATACTCTTTTTGATGTGGTATGAGTTTTAATTAATTGTTGTGTGTTTAATGAAATAATGATATTTTCCAGTCTGGAGCTCTCCTCTTTTCAAATTACAAATCTTTCGTTGTGAAAGAAAACTATTATTTTTGTGTAACAATTCATTTATTTGATCTCTGATTTTCAGGGTCTAAACATTTTTCTTACATGAATTATATATGAATGTACTCTGTTTCAGTTGAATTTAGTATAGCTGTGTGAAAGTTACTCACCAAATTGATTGTAACTCTATTCTATCTTTTACTTGCCCGTACTTAATTTTGCTATTTTTCCTTGCTTGTTGAGTATTGTGTCTTTGTGCATGACAATTCAAATCTGTTGGACAGTTTTGACGGTTTTGAAAACAATAGGTTAAAGACGTTGATTGTTGTCACTCAGAGTTATTTTGTTAGTATCACATTTAAAGGGGGATTAATGATTGCAATGCATCAAGTGTATCTTAAATGCTGGCGTTGAAGTTAGTGGTCGTAATAGAGCGAGGGGGGGATTTGGAGGGGACCTTATGAGTGTTGTCTTACTGCTAGTGATAGAGGTACGCTTGCTGCGTTGCTATTGTAAATCCACCTTAATGCTGCTCATAAAACATAAATTCACTAATGAAGTGTAATATTTACGATAAGAATATTTATAAGCAATGTGTTGAAAAGTCAAAGTTTATTGAGATCAAATTTACTGAAGTATTATTTTTTGTGAATATGATTATAAGTAATCCTAACTTAATCCTGACTGGTGATATAAACTACCAAATAACCTCTACAAACAGGTCACCAGCCAGCTATTAATACCTTAAAAATTCATCAATTAGAGTCTTTGTGCTTGGACTGACAAAAAGAATTGACTCTTTTAAATTCCTGTTGTGTTAATTCTGGTGTTGCCTTGAGATGTGTTCAAACCAGCATTTTCCAAGATTTTTTATAATTAACTGAGTGTTTAATTCAGTGTTGTCAACTTTATTTTGTCATTATTGCTCCATCTTAGGTCACCATAGACTACCAATAACTGAAATAAGTCTGTGTTCTTTGCTTTGTTGGTGCTGACAGTGCTATGAGCATACTTCTTTACTTTTTAATTTTCCCTCCACTTGTTATGTTGGGTATTTTTGTACTTGTGTACATTGTGTAGATTGCCGATACCTGTACATAGAGTTGTGTTTCCAGAAAATTATTTACTCTGGTATTACCATGTCATATACGCTTACATACCTTGTTTTAAGGTGTTAAGCAAATTTACAAAAAGTACAATCTGCCTTGCTCATTTTTTGTTTCTCTAACATATTTAAGGTTTATATATTTTAAAACAGTGAGGCACAATTCCCGTGTTTGAGACACGGTAAGTTTATTCATAAATGTTGCTGGATTTTCATCACTGAAGACTTATAGTAATGGACCAAACTGCTATGTTAAACCAAAATGACAACTTTGCAATACCACTCAAAGAATTAGGTATATGAGTAAGCGGAGTAATTGGGTTTAAAACAAAGCTGTTGAGGAGCAGGTTCTTTCATTTTATTTGTTTCTGCCAATACATATAAGTATTATGATGCTTATTAAAATTTTACCAGTGACTACATGGGTCTGTGCCCGAAACCCAAACCATGAACGATTAAGCTTTTCGTATCTTTAGATTACCTCTGATATTATTACGGAGCCCTAGTAGTTTTAAACTGTAGGTGTCTGTAAAGAGGTTCTAATGCTAGATGTTAGTTGGCAGACAAAATTATCTGTTTGAGCCAACTATCGGTAATGTTGTAGACAATAGAAGATGATACTGTACCTACATAAGTAGAATTAGCCTGTAAATCCTGGCATTTAGTACTTCACTAACTTGTATTTTTTAGCACATCTGTAGATAAATATCTATTCTTGCTTTGGTTTTTCCTCCTCTGTGCAGTACATAGTCACTGGGCCGCATTTGTTCTTTCAGTCCATATGCCCAATTTTGTTACACATTGTCTGTTTGTCATTTTGCAGGAATTCTTCCTGGTAATTTGAGTGAACGAACAACTGTTCAGCCTGCTTCAGATCTTGCAGAGATGATCTCAAGTTTTCTACTTATTCATATTTTAATACCTATTGTGCTAGTCAAAGAAAACTGTAAACTTCTGTCAAATGAATGACTGATTTTCTTTTAATTTCTCATTGGGAGGATTAATATATGTATATGTTTCATGTGTGTTTTGTTTTCTCGCCCTCCACTGTAACTGACCAGTATTCTGAACTGATATTTTGGTGTTCCTTTATGTAACACCACACACAAGATTTTTGTTTTCTTTGCAAAAGAGGTTCAGAAGTTGGGGTTGTTGGTTTGCAAAAGATAAAGAAAGAGGTTAGGTTATTGATATTATAATTTTTAGCATTTATAATGATCACAATTATTGGTACATTTTATATCTACAATAGCAGATACCAATGTACGGGTACCGGAGTCCTGACAAGTCTCAACACCTCCTCCAATCCTTTAATTTTCAGTGGAATCACAAAAGATTCATAAAAAAGAATAAAAGTTGAGATGAAATACTTATCAGGATTCCTTCTTTCAAATATACAGTCACTTTACAAAATTATTTACATTTCAGATGAATCATCTATCATTAGAGACAGTCATATTCATGACCCCAGGAGAGCACAGATACAGTACATTATATCATTTACCATTTGTTACAAATCTGATTTGATCAAACAATTTTACTATCTGCGTCAGACAACTAAAAGTAGTCTTAAGGAAAGTAAAAGAATACATAGTGGCACCAGGCCAGGCTTAGCTCCAAAAATTTTACCAAAGAAGAAAAGGCTATGGAGCCAAACCAGCAAAAGAAAAATATGTGCCCTATTCCTTGCTTGGACTATAAATTAACACAAGATCGAAGATGGTGGGATTTCGATGATAATCTATCTATGATCTATACTGACTTGTTATCAAAAGATGTGAGTGAAGAAGTTAAAATACATCTGCACATTCCTGGGTAGAATATTGACTGTGCCTACACACAGCAAACTAATAGTACTGAAAAATACATAAGAAAAACAAATGTATTTTGCTAGGTAGCTGCTCTTAGTATCACAAGAATTTTATAAATAAATACTTCTCTTTCTATATTACTCTAAACAGTATCAACCATACATTTTCAATCAACCTCCTCAAAGAAATTTTGTCAAATTTAGTAAATTTACAATACCAAAAGCAAATGGTCATTAGTATTGGACGAAGGTGGAGACACATTTTACTCGACACCAAGCTGAAGTTTTGAAAACCAAAACAGAATTACAGGTGAATGACAGATCACAATATCTTTCAAGCTAAGGCTTTCAGATGTCACAGAACAACAAATGTAAAACATATCCACACACAGAATCACACAAATTCAGACATCCTGTACACTCTATTTACAAGTTTTTTAAAAATAAAATTCATATCACAGTTCAATTTGGCTTTCACATAGTAGCCAAGGGTTTAACAGAATAAAAACATCCTTCATTTAAAAAATTTCACCCTCCCAGGTAACAGACATCTCTGTTACTTGGGAGCCTTCAACACATAATAAATGCTAGAATAGATACAGGACTTAAAATACTTTTTGGGACACCACTTCAGCAGTTCTTGAGTTTTGATGGCTCCCAAAGTCATTTTTAGCAGAGTAACAAAAATCAAAGCTCTTTACCAAAATATTCCCCCACTGGGATTTTCAAATAAAAGAGGAGCATCCCTTGCATTAGGTGCAAGAGAGCAAGAGGTCTTAAATTCAATTTATGACTAGTTAAAAACATAAAACTTTTAAAATCCTGACTTTTTATATTTAGAGCTTAAAATCCATTTGGTAATATCATCGGCCAGAATGGAGAGAATTAAGTATCATTTGCAGCAATTATTTTTCACAAAGTCTTTGGATGAATGAGGGAAAACAGTTTTCTATTGAAGGCCGTCAAACAATAAAATGGGCAAATATCAAATTCAGGCACGCCAAGCCGGCTAGCTTGAAGGCAAAGGAAGGAAAAAGTTGGTGGATGGAAGTTGGGGCTTACTCACAACAGTGTTTGATCACAGACAATAGTGCACAGCCGCCCTCGCGGTCCGGTTCAGGCCGGCCAGAGTGCGGGGTGTGCCATGGGGGTGCCACGCGGGCGCGTTCCCCTGAGCGCTTCCGGTCAGCGAGGTGTGGAATAACGCCGAGGCAGAACCAGCTGATGTCAGCGCGTCCTCCTCGACGCGTCTGGGCTACCTGGGCTGGTTCCGCGGGGCGGCCAGCACCGCGCCCGCGAGCGCGAGCAGCAGCAGCGCCCCCGGGGCGCCCGCGGCGGCCGCCGCCCCCGTGGTGCTGGCCGCGCTCGCGCCACCCGCCGCGCCCGCGCCCACGTCCTGCGCCGCCGTCCTGTTGCGGAGGTTGCCCGCCGCGCCAGGGTCCATGGCCAGGGTGTCGCGGTGGGCGGAGCGCGCGGCCAGGACGAAGTCCTCCTTGCCCGTGGTCATGAGGTCGAACACGCACCAGTCCAGGTACTGGTCCGTGAGGTCGCCGAGGCCCTCGTTGCTGTCCGCCGCCGCCATGGTGGAGGTGGACGGCGGCGAGGACGACGTCTTGGCGACGCACTTGGCCAGGGCGTCCGCCCACGACAACACGTGACCACGATCGCTGTCCAAGTCCATGATCTCGGACAGCGGGCAGCCCTGGACGCACAACTGCACACCGTCGGTTCCTTGGTCGTCGCCCTGCCCCGAGTGCCACGACACGAGCTCGTCGGGCATGCTCGTGGAGAAGGCCAGGTAGCGGCCCACCTGCAATAAGAGAGGAAAACTTTAAAATACGTTCCCCTTTTCCGAACACTCCCGTCCCTCCGCCATAGCCACCATACCCATTAACGAGACATAACAAAATCGAGAGCACCATACCTTTCTCACAATGACGGTGGTCTCGATGTATCGAATCCGGATCTCCACCAGGGACCCGAAGGCCGTGTCCTGGTACCGGATGGTGACCGCCTCGCCCGGGCCGGACTTGTTGGTGCCGTCGATGAAGGTGTCCGGGAGCGGCGCGTCCGCCGTGGCCTCGTACGTCTTGGTCTGGTTCAGGCAGGGCGTGGCCGACCCCTTGACCAGCACCGTCACCTGCGGACAAAACACACCAAACACATCGGTCAGTCTCGACAGTCGCAACAGCAGAACCCCAGCCTCTTCACTCCTCGTGGGACGGACGGGTCAAAGGTTCGGGTAATAGCGCGGGGCGGGGCGGACCGGACCGCGTGGACTCCCCCGGATGTACCAGGGTCGCATGGGCATCCGCTACATGTGTCATCAGCGCGTGCGAGCCCCGCCCCTTCGGCCCCTCCCCCGCCCCGCCCAGGCACACAGGTTAGAGTCTCTAACACTCTAACACAGGTGAGTGACGGTGGCGTGGCGCGCGTCACGAGGCTTCACGTCACAACGCGTGACTAGAAGTGCCGGTCCGCGCGCGCGGCGCTGCGCTGCGCTGTCGGACCGAGTGTACACAGCTCGTCGCCGCGTCGTCAGCCGCGAGGGAGAAGGTCAAGTTTATAATTATATAATAACCCCTTTGCCCCCCTCCTCTCTTTCCCTTGCATTTTCCCAGACACTTTCCCCCCCACCTTAAGGAAACACATGTAGTACATACGTAGACCCACGGTTATCAGCGATGAGCCTATCGCACCGGAAGTGACATCCAGCTGAATGAATGACCCGCGAATGAATGAGTCAAGAACACATGCCTCTCCCCCCCCCCCCAATCCCATACACACACTTTTCTCTTCCGAGAGGCGACTACTGAATTTCTCGTAACGGGAAGGGAGGCCACAGAGGAGGCGAGGGCGTTTCTTTATCAACGACGATGGATGGACGAGGCCAGCAGTCGACAGACGGGCAAGGGGAGGGGGGTGGGGACATGTCGGGCAGAATATAGACACGCAGTCTGGCGGTCTGGCGCGGCAGCTCGCGCTTCTCGCGGGGCGGAGCGGGGCGGGGCGGGGCGGAACGCGGGGCGCTGCTGCAGCACAGGACGCGCGGTGGGGCCGAGCGACACTGCGCCCGCCGCGCCGCGAGTTTGGCCATCTTCCAGCGGCGCGTCCGGGACGTCTCTCTCCTCCTCTCTCACTCCCTACTGCAGCGCGGCGGGCCGCACACTTGTGAGAGCGAGAGAGAGGGAGAGGGAGCAAGCTGCGACTCGGCCGCGGCTTGCAGCAGCCATGACGTCCCAACGGCAGAACAACGCCTCGCCGTGCCAATAGCGTTTCGCGGTGTTCTCGGTCTGGCCCCGCCCCACCCCGCTCCTCCCTCGCCTCGCCCGGCCGCTTTGGCAGCTCGTGGGCGTACCGGGCGTGCGGCCCGCTACGCAGCGACTACGGTGGGGACCGAAACTTTCGACTACACCAATCTGCAGGAGGAGTCAAATCTTTTCCTCCAACTACACATTTCGTGAAACGGAAAAAGGCACGCAGACACGGTGGGTCCATATTTCGAGCTGGGTTTCACTCGCGCTGACACGAGCGGCGGCCACCCATCCCGTCCCGTCCGCGGCGAGCTTATTTTTATCTGCAACCCGATGGACCAAGGACCTGCCCGGCCCCCACCCCAGCCTCCTCACCTGCATTCCGCACGCAGCGCAGCGCGCACCATGCTCGGTGCAGCCGCAGCACAGCGCGACAAATTTAGCACGCCGCAATGGCGGTGCAGTGCAGCACACAGACAGGCGGACGGACGGGGACAGCGGAGGTGAGAGGCGTTTGCTGTCCTGTCCTGTCCCCGGCTCTGCTGCCCGCCCCGCCTGCTCGCCGGCCCCGCGGCCCACAACTTCCTCTCTCTGGCTTCTCAAGTCGCGGCGCGGACAGCCAGTCTCACCGCCCAGCCCTGCCCTCCTCTCCGCCTCCCTCCCTCCTAACTCCGCGGCCCCCGCCCACGGGGGTTGTGGGGTTGACGTACCTTGGTGGTGGCCGTCGCCTGCGACCCGAAGAGCACGGGCTCGTTGGTGACCTGCACGGCGAGGTAGGGGTTGTCGACGAGCGGCCAGGCGCCCTGCACCCGGCACGTCTGCATGTTGCCCTTGAACGTCTTGAGGTGCGGGTCGCCGAACAGGCCGCAGTGCCGCAGGTTGCGCGAGCCCCGGTAGCTGCACTCGGGCCCGGCCTGCGCGGCCTCGGGGGGCGCCATCGTCGAGGGTCGGTCGGGGCGCGGCGTCGAGGGCGGCAGCGGCGGCCGCCCGTGCTTCCGCGGGACGCCCGTCGCCGACCCCGTCTCCTGCTGGAGTCGTTTAGCGCATTCGAATCTGGGCAAAAGAGAAAAGAGGATGATGAGCTTTAACCCGCAGCAGGGCCTGAAACACTTGGCATGCGGTAATATCGTAGTAGTAACACTTACATCGTCTTCAAGTGGATCAACATAGTGTTGGACGTGTGGTAGTTGAGGTTGCCCCTGCACGCCCGCCGGATGTTGTGCATGCAGATGCCGAAGTCGTAGAGCACGCCGCAGTACGCGGCCGAGCCCTCGGGGCCCGCCAGCCCGCGGCTCTCCAGGGACTCGTCGTAGGCCCGCGTGCACGCGTCCAGGTCGCACACCGCGCCATGGCCGTGTCCCAGCGCTGCAACAGGTAGACAAGCTGGTTGTAGTCACAGGGAAACTCCTACGGGGGTAAGCAAGGAACAGAAAGGGATCCAACTGACTACCAAGTAATTGCCTCACTTGCCCGAGCATCGAGTTGTAGGGAAAGTCTTCGACATTGGACGGCCCTTGCCTACCCGAACCCCATTTTCGATGTACATTTTCTACGACTAGATTATTCTGCCGGGCACGATCGGATCGGATTAAGGGGGAGAGGGGGGGGGGGTCACTAAGACATGTAGCCATCCTGAAAATCCCCACCCCCAACGCCTAACAATGGTCTATTTCTATCGGTGAGCGCGGGTGTACTTTTCCCTGACGACTGCATGCTCTGCAGTGCAGCGGCCGGCGGCTTCAGGCAATAAGCGCGGCTCTGGTGCAGCTGACCGCGCCGGCACTGCGGCGTGGCGCCGCGTGGCGTAGTGTAGCGCCGGCGCGCAGCGGAAGCGCCAAGGTCGCTCATTCATTCCTTCCTCCGATCGCTCTCCGCTCCGCTCGACCCATTCATTCAGCCTTCCGTACAACGTTTCGCCCCGCCCCGCTCTCCGGTCCGACCGCGGCGGCGCATCCTGCTCGACGTCATACAGTCCGCCACCATACCGTCCCGACGACGGCCGCCTCTGGCTGGTGCTGGTGCGGGCTCCTCGGCCAGGCCCGCTCCTGCCTTACGCCCCCCCCCCCCTCCGTCCTGCGGCACGACGCGGTGCGGCGCGTGACTGCACATACGCCACCACCTGCTGACGGCCGTCGTGTCCCATGAACGCTTTTCCCCAGACGTAAAACAAACAAAACAAGTACTGTTTAATCATCTCTCCGTGCTAAGGAACTCATGTAGGTGACGCGATTCGGCCGGCCACCCGGCCGGCTGCTCTGCAAACATGAGCGTTACGGCACCCGCGTCGTTGTGAGTATACAGTGAAGTTAGGCAAGCCCGCTCCACGCGCGCACACGGCGGTTGCCTACCGACCGCGGCGATCGTCTCAACAGGGGCCTTCTCTCCTACGGACCTACGGACCCGTTCAGATTACGTGCCCTACGAGGAGGCAAGAGGCCGGGTTGCAAATAGTACGCCCCCCCCCCTCCTTCCACTAGGTTCACGATCACCATGATATTTGAATCCCGGGGTAACAGTATTATGGGGTCCCTATGAACTCCAATGACGATACTAAACATATAATGTGGTAAGGACCATAATTTTGTAAACCCCCCTCCTTTTGGCCACGTAGTACGCAGTACCTGGGCGGTCCCTGTCGCCGCCTTGTCGTCTCAAGGAGCGGCCCCGTCCGGCGCGGCGACACAGATAGCGCCGCGATAAACAATAATAATAATAAAGGTGTGCCCGTCAAGTGATGTACCCGGTCAGAAGGAAAGAAAACAGCGATAGAACGCAAGCGATTGCTGTGTGTCTGTGTGTGCACGAACCTGCTGCGAAGTTGATGAGCAGCACGAGCAGGGCCAGCCAGAGCGGCCCCGTGTTGGCGGCGGGGGCGGCTCGCAGGGGCGGCGGGGCCGGGGGCGGGTCCGGGGGCGAGGGGGGCCTCTGCCCCATCACGCGGCACTCATCTCCGCTCCATAACCTCGACCATCTGCAGAAATGGGAAGAAACAAAAAGAGTTAGCAAAGTGCCAATCACATCCCTTGCGACAGTCATGGGACCCGGGTACAGTCGGGTACAGTACACACAATGAGGCCATACGTAATAGTCGCAGCAGTGCCTGGTGACGCGACACCTCCATACGGCCGAGAGTATTCCACGTGGCATAAACACAGCCTTGCTCTAGCAATACCAACACGTTGCATACTTGCAAGTACGTAGTATCTCTCTTCTGTCCGGAAAGCACACAAAAGCCTCTCTCGACCTCACATATATTCATACACCTATTTTCAGAAGCGAGCGAGCGTTTCCTGTGTTGTTGTCCCGCATGGACGTTCTTCTTCTCCACATGTACGAAATATAAAACGAAGGCTATAGAAAACGTCGCGCGCTTCCTGACGGGCCCCGGGGGAGGGGAGGAGAGGAGGGGGCTTTAGCCCGGCACAACAACGAGCAGGGAACAAGATTTACGGCCGCAAGGCGGAGCTGTGGCGGGGCGGGGCCCTCATGCCTCGGCCTTATTCACAGCAGCAGCAGCAGCAGCAGCAGCAGCAGCAGCAGCAAACGGGCGGATGGGTCGGGATGGCCGTCGGGCAGCAGCGAGCAGCGCGGCGGCGGTCAGATCAAATCCCATCCAATACCTCTCCCCCCACCCCACACACACTTACTGTGAAATCACCTGGAAGCGTTTGAGCTCAAGTCGGCGATAGCCAAGTATATTTTCCCCGTCTTCACAGTATACGATCTCATTGTATATTTGTTTCTTAGTTTCGGCGGACACGCGAAATTCTTTTGGATACATACTGTAGGAGCACTTTCAGATTCATTCAGCACATACCACGGTGAACAATCTTAAAGATTTCTGTGGGAAATACTATGTGTAATTTTCCAGTCACATAAAAATCAATGGGTTTGAAGATCTTTGATATCGATATTCATTATTTTACTAAATATTCCGCAGGTCTCCGGAAACCAGCCAATTAATTTATTGTGTAGTATACTGTCTACAAGATTTCTGAGAGTGTACTATATAGTAATAATAATAATCGTGCACTTTGCACGCAGGATTAAAGTTTAACTGTGCACCTCGGTGCACCTCCTTCAACACACGCACACACGCACGCACGCACACACACACACACACACGAGCCTACGCATTATTATACACGATACGAGCAGGAAATAAGTGACTCGCACGGAGCTTATCGAAATACTGCATCGCGAGAGACAAAAGAATAACGCGCCGCCGCGGGTGGGGGGGGGCAATGCGGGTACGGGGTTAACCAGACTGGAATTCCAGGCGGCGGCGCGGCGGCTTCAGACGGGAGAGGGGCCGGACGGACGGCTCGGGTCCACAAAGTATTCATTTATTCTTCCGATTCGTTCCGAAACGCAGCCAAGTCCCCGCGCAGCAGTCGCGCCGGCAGTCACTCAGTGACGGGCGGGGAACAGCACTTCCATCCATGTCGAGCGCGCAGCGCAAAACGAGTATGTAAGTACGTATGGGCATGGGCGAGGACAAAACTTGCAGCAGGTATGTACAGCAAGCACACTTGGAGCAGTGCGTCCGCTCGTATGGCGTCTCACAGTATAAACCGAAAGGGACGGACGCAGTCAGACGTGAAAGGGATACACTCCAAACAAATGTTTATGTACACATATTTTTATAGTCGACTTTCCATGTCAAGTTTCAAGCTTCTATATTTCCCCCTTTTCCGCTGCCTGGTGTATCCGTGTCACCGTCTCTCTTGTCTGCCTGTCTGTCTCTCTCGCTCCTTACCTCTACGTGCGCGTCGTGGCGAGGCGTGGTGTCAAACACTCGTATATACGACGTGCCCGATAAGCCCCCCCGGGCATATCGCCCAGCGTTATCCTTTTACACTCTCCGAGGACGCCCCGAGCCCCACGCCTCGCCCAGCCCAGCCCCGCCCGCCGCGCCCAGAGGTGATAAGGCGAGCACCTCGGCATAATCATAATCCCGGCCCTCTCATCATTCCTGGAGCGAGTGTATAGAGGAAGTCGGTGGTCAGTTGCTGAGCTGCTTTTATTGCAGGCACTGCAACGACAACAATCCACAATCGCGCTCACGGTTTTTAAAATTTTCGCGCGTAAAAACAATAAAAGATAACGCGATGATGATAAAAGTTGACGACGCCGTTTTCGTATTCAACAGTGTATGGTCGGAGGGAAGGACGGGGAGGAAGGGGGGCTGTGGCCCCAAGGGCGTAGCAGCAGTGAAGAGGCACGGCACAGCACAGGGCATCCGTGATACGTGAGGTGTAAGGTGAGATGGGCGAAAGGAAAGGGGGATAAAAGGGAGGGGAGGAGGAGGGGGAAGAGGAGGAGGGGGAGAGAACAGGATGGGGAGGTGAGAGGCGGGACAATGAGGCGGGCAGACGCACGGGCAGGCGGCGGCGGCCGGCGGCGCGAGGAACAGATGTGAGCCCCCGATGTGCGCCGGGTAGAGCGTGACCAATACGGCAGTTCGGTTCAACTTGGGTCAGGTGGTATTTCCTTACATGGGGGCTGCAGGCTGCACGCTGCACCACGCGGTGGTGGGACGAGCAGCCTCCATCGGCGTCGTGCAGCCTCGCGAGAGCCTCCCGTCCTGAACCGGTGAACGTTCACCGGCGGTGTGTTCACTGTTCACGCCGTCGCACGTGTCTCCGTGCACACGGCCCCAGTCCGCCCGCCCGGCCGCCACATCAGCACATGCCCATCAATAGCATTCAAGTACACGTCTCTACATACTGACTACTGATGATCTCGACGCGACGCGCGGATCAGGCGAACGTCAGTCCGTCAGTGAGGACGGTCTCGAAACGTTTTACCCTCTCTGAGCGTTAATTCGCGGAACGTCGCGATAATACTCGCTGCGCCCGCCCCGGGGCCGAGTTCAGACTAATCTCGATCGAAGAGAACGGACAGAGAAAGAGAGCGAGACAGAGAGAGGCGACCAGCAAAAAAGAAACATCGGCAGGCGGCAGGCAGGGCCCGGCCGATATATCATTTCGAAAGGGCCAACCTCGGCTGGCCCATGGCAACCCTTTGGTCCCTCCTCCTCCTCCTCCTCTTCCTCTCCCCGGAGCCACGGGAATTAATTACAAACCGCAGCGGTCCTGACGGCTCTTCTTTATTGCTCCCTCCCCTTTTTTTTCGGTTTGATAAGTGCGCATCGCGGGGCCGGGCGGGGCCAGGCGGGGCGGGGTCCTTGATACGGTGGAACACCTCCGCCGTTCGGCCCCGGCCCCGCATACCTGTCCGCCCCGCCCCGCCCCGCAGGGCCGCGTCGCGGTGCGCTGCTGCTGCCGGTGTCTTGTTCCTTTTCTCCCCCGGTCCGGTTCGGGAGGCAAGGGGCCCCCCGACAGAGATCTGACAGATCTCATATGCACGGCCTGCTCCTGGCGCACACAAAGGAGGGCCCACCCTGCCCTGTACGTACCGAGACATGCTTGCTGCGCCCTACGGTGCCGCCTCCCAACTGACGGGAGGGTGCCCCGTCCCGGCGAGAGAGATCCGCGCCGACCAGATTCAGCGAATCAAAGGGGGGAAATTCGCTGACTTGGAGAAAAGCCGTCATGGCGAGGGTGCGCGGGCCGCGTCCGGGAGGGAGCCCTGCCCGGCCCGCGGCGGTGGCCTCCTGCAGCGCGCGAGGCTCGCCCCGGACGCGGCCGACAGATAAGTGCCGCGCTGACTGCGAGGGAGCGTCTTCCGCGGCGTGCATCGGGCGGGTCGCCAGGCGCCCCGCGGGTCACCCCGTTGCTCCACAGCACAGAGGTCCCCGACGACGACCTCGGCGGCGACGGCTGCGGCCGGTGCTGACGGCACACCCGCCGCCCGCCCACGCGCGGGAGCCGCGGAGGGCGCCACGTAGTCGGCTAGGAACATGAGCCCGCCTGGAGTTGAGCCCAAACCACTGAGGGTCCAAGCAGTGTCGATATAAGCCAAGGACCAAATCTGACGAGTTAGGCTCGGGACTAATCTCATATCGGGTACTCAAATCCACGGAAAATGCTGCTTCTTTCTGACAGAGTGGGCCGGGCCGAGTCGCCCGGAGGGGAGCCTCCCGTGGCAGCACTGGCTTGATGGCTGTCGGCAAGCGGTATGAATTCGGGAGGAGTTGAACCGGAGCGATTCGCGGCGGAGGGGTGCGGAGAGGGCGGCGGAGGGCTGTGCGAGGGCCGCAGGGGGCCCGGCCCTGCCGGGGGATGATTGTGATGGAGTGCTTCCCGGAGTCGGGCCGGGGGCCCCGCGGAGGGTGGGACGGCGGTGGGCCGAGGCCGAGGGGCTTCGGCGAGGGTGGCGGAACGGTCTGCAAAGTGCACGGGGGGTAAGCTGGGGGAATGGCGCAATCAAGTGAATAGACGAGGGGAGCGTGGGGTGGTGGCGGGGCGCTGCTGGGGCCGAGCTGCACGGCTGGGGCTGCGGCTGCGGACAATAACAATAACACCAACTCCCGCCGCACCGCCCGCCGCCCTCCCGCCCCTCATCTCGCTGTGACAGCCCGCTCCGAAAGGGTGCAGCCGGCATGCATGCATGCATCCAGCTCGGCGGCCGGGCGCGGCAGGACGGGGCCCTCATGTGTGCCCCCATGCTTGTGATGCGAGCCCTACCCTCTGCGGGAGGGGCGGGGAGGCGGGGAGGGGCTCCTATAGTGTGACGAGCAGGGGCGGGGCGGGGCCCCTCTTGTGCAGGGCGGCGGGAGTGGGGCGGCCGGGGCTGCCGGGGCCTGCCCGTTCCGTGCGGGGTTGCCGGACTGCGCCGCCGGCCCGGCCCTGCCCGCCTGGAGGAGCGCGGTCGGCCAGCCCGACGCCGCCGAGGAGCTGCAGCCGGCAGCAGCCCTCCTGCGCCCCCAGCCACCTTCAGACCCGGGACGTGTTCGCCGGCACCTGCCTTGCCAAGGCCCATACACATACATCTACGCCATAGCTTGTCGAGAAAGTCTTTCTTCTAAATCCTGGCCGAGCAGGATGTTCCCACCCACGCACGACG